TAGAATTCCCTCCATACAGGGGCTACCCTATATCATAAATTAAACAAAGCAGGTAAGTGAGTTCTGGCAAGATGCTCTATATTGCAGCCCCCACTCACCCCCACTTTCCAGATGTCTAGATTATTAAATGACTTACTTAAAACACCATAGGAAAAGCATAAAAAGTCAATGTATGTCCTTTATGTTTTCAGTACTGATTGCTAGCTCCAGAAAAAAAAAAAAATCACATTTTAAGAGATTAATAAATAGGTATTTTCACTATAGTTTCGTATCTGTTGATTTAGGGATTTTGCAAAATGAGTCATTCACTTAACTTTATTTTGGAGTTCTATAATTCTTCTCTCATACGGCTTTCTATAGACTAGCCTCTGCACAATATATAATGATACATTTCTTTTTTGATGAAAATATAAAGCAATTCACTAGTAGTTAAAGAGAGGGACCGTATAGCTAAAACTTAATGTTCATTTTTCCATGAAACTAACACAATATTCAGGCACATTTTTGCTCATGATATAAATCCCATGAGATTATCACAACTCTGGCCACAAGTTTGCAACCAGAACGGTTTAATCAGAGTTCAGGAAATAGTTACCTAGACATTGTTAGAAAATGTTCACAGGTGAGACAGTGAGGGCAAAGGTGAATTTCGTAAATAATTATTGGGTGATATTTATGGGGCTTTTGGACAAAAGGAGATAACTAATCTTAAAACGATACAGGGATTTGGGGAGCAAATAATGTAATGATAACTAGAGTTGCAGGATTACTGTCATGGCACAGCACAGGCTAATGATGCTGATGGGTGGATTTACAGTGAATCTGGGGGTTCTGAAAGCACAGGCCATATTGTAATATATTACTAACTATGTGGGGTGCTGAATGGACAGCACAAGATGCAATGTATTCGTGAATATAATATGTGGGGTGCTGAATGGACAGCACACATTTTAATGTACTGAGTCTGAGGTGCTGAATGGACAGCGCACAATATGAAGTATAATGTGTGTGTGGTGAGGTCAATTGACAGAGCACAGTATGATGCATTATTTGGGGGGGGAGGGGGGTTAGTGGACAAAGCACAGTATAATGTATTAATGAGGGGGTGCTGAATGGCCAGAGTATTGTGAATTATTAATGTGGGGGTGCTGAATGGACAGAGTATTGTGAAGTATTAATGTGGGGGTGCTGAATGGACAGAGTATTGTGAAGTATTATTGAGGGGGTGCTGAATGGACAGAGTATTGGGAAGTATTAATGTGGGGGAACTGAATGGACAGAGTATTGTGAATTATTAATGAGGGGGTGCTGAATGGACAGAGTATTGTGAAGTATTAATGTGGGGGAGCTGAAAGCTCAGAGTATTGTGAAGTATTAATGTGGGGGTGCTGAATGGACAGTGTATTGTGAAGTATTATTGAGGGGGTGCTGAATGGACAGAGTATTGTGAAGTATTAATGTGGGGGAGCTGAATGGACAGAGTATTGTGAATTATTAATGAGGGGGTGCTGAAAGCACAGAGTATTGTGAAGTATTAATGTGGGGAAGCTGAATGGACAGAGTATTGTGAAGTATTATTGAGGGGGTGCTAAATGAACAGAGTATTGTGAAGTATTAATGAGAGGGTGCTGAATGGACAGAGTATTGTGAAGTATTAATGTGGGGGTGCTGAATGGCCAGAGTATTATAAAGTATTATTGAGGGGGTGCTGAATGGACAGTGTATTGTGAAGTATTATTGAGGGGGTGCTGAATGGACAGAGTATTGTGAAGTATTAATGTGGGGGAGCTGAATGGACAGAGTATTGTGAATTATTAATGAGGGGGTGCTGAAAGCACAGAGTATTGTGAAGTATTAATGTGGGGAAGCTGAATGGACAGAGTATTGTGAAGTATTATTGAGGGGGTGCTAAATGAACAGAGTATTGTGAAGTATTAATGAGAGGGTGCTGAATGGACAGAGTATTGTGAAGTATTAATGTGGGGGTGCTGAATGGCCAGAGTATTATAAAGTATTATTGAGGGGGTGCTGAATGCACAGAGTATTGTGAAGTATTAATGTGGGGGTGCTGAGTAGACAGAGTATTGTGAAGTATTAATGTGGGGGGGCTGAATAGACAGAGCATTGTGAAGTATTAATGAGGGGGTGCTGAATGCACAGAGTATTGTGAAGTATTAATGTTGGGGTGCGGAGTGGACAGAGTATTGTGAAGTATTAATGTGGGGGTGCTGAATGGACAGAGCATTGTGAAGTATTAATGTGGGGGTGCTGAATGGCCAGAGTATTGTAAAGTATTATTAAGGGGGTGCTAAATGCACAGAGTATTGTGAAGTATTAATGTGGGGGTGCTGAGTGGACATAGTATTGTGAAGTATTAATGTGGGGGTGCTGAATAGACAGAGTATTGTGAAGTATTAATGAGGGGGTGCTGAATGCACAGAGTATTGTGAAGTATTAATGTTGGGGTACTGAGTGGACAGAGTATTGTGAAGTATTAATGTGGGGGTGCTGAATGGACAGAGTATTGTGAAGTATTAATGAGGTGATGCTGAATGAACAGAGTATTGTGAAGTATTAATGTGGGGGTGCTGAATGGACAGAGTATTGTGAAGTATTAATGTGGGGGTTCTGAGTTCCTGAATGGACAGAGTATTATGAAGTATTAATGAGGGGGAGCTGAATTTAATGTGGGGGTTCTGAGTTCCTGAATGGACAGAGTATTATGAAGTATTAATGAGGGGGAGCTGAATTTAATGTGGGGGTTCTGAGTTCCTGAATGGACAGCTCAAGACAAATAACTTCTCATTCCATTCCAAGCGTGAAATCTCGGGGTTATAGAATTGAATCGATAGATGCTTTAATAAGTGAGATGATTTAATTGCCCAAACTTATCAGACATTCCTGTTATTTTGAGTTATGTTTCTGTACTGAACACTGTACGTGTAAACGTTATAGTAATAAATCAATCTATATCTCTCATCCACTGTTATACTATATAAATAATGTTGGACTCATTGTACCATTCACAGTCACATAACTATACAGGGCAGAGTACATCTATTAGCTCTATAATTACATGGACATTACATGGACATGTACGGTGTAACTATTGCACTATATGCACCTACCTTCTTCCGTAATGTAACTTACTAATAATAATATAAACGTTAAATAACCACCTACAGCATTTATACACCTACCTTCTAATGTAATGTAACTTAGTAATAATAACAATATATACCTTAACTAACTACCTACTGCATTTATACACCTACCTTCTAAGGTAATGTAACTTACTCATAATAACAATATATACCTTAACTAACTACCTACTGCATTTATACACCTACCTTCTAACGTAATGTAACTTACTCATAATAACAATATATACCTTAACTAACTACCTACTGCATTTATACACCTACCTTCTAACGTAATGTTACTTTCAATAATATATATATAGCTTAAATAACTATCTATTGCACTTATAATCCTACCATCTACTGCAATGTAACTGCAAAGTTCTAAATAAACTTTTAGTGCGATTCAAATAAAAATATATATATATATACTTTGTACAACTTCACCGCCAATACATCTCTGCTCAACTGTAAAGTGCTAATACACCTGTTAGTGCAATTAAATTAGAAATACATATTTAACTCGTACATCGACATCACTTATACACCACCCTTCTAGCACAATACAAGTACACCTATTAGTATATAAATTAAATCTACCCAGACTGTATGATAGCTGCCCTTCCTGCCCCTGGGCACTGCCCACCTTACTGTAATGTAACATGTGGTGTTAAATCGAGCTCTTAGTATTATATACATAACGATATCACTTACTGTATCTCTTCACTAAAGCAATGTGCCAGCATACCAGGTCCTGCTGCCACACAAATAACATATAAACACATATACTATATTTAATACATTAAGCGATTAAATAAATGTCAAACAAATTGCCGATTGTAATTAAAATGATGATTATTAGAAAAAGGGGGTACGCTTTGAAATTGAAGTGAGGGAGACTGACAAGGGATAGGACTTTAGTGAAGGAGTAGTAGTTGCCTGGACTGGTGTTCTAGTGGGAATGGTACAGTGACACACAAGAAAAATAATAATAACTAAAAAGAATAACTGGGTTGTGCAAAAGACTATCCTCATTCCTGTGTGAGATTTTATATTATCCAGCTGGATTCAGTCTGCCTATACTGCGTTTCTTATACAGAAAGTTTATTAAACTTTTAATTGATGTAGGTATTATTGAGATTGATTACTGTTTGTTTAGAGAGAAATGTGTTTGAAAAGCGTCTCCCACTCTATATACTGCATGTGGGTCCATGCTCACAAAATACATAAAACACGTGCTGTTATGGTTAAACATACAAACAGAACATTGATACATTCAGTTTCTAATCTGTTCCTTAAAACATTTATCTCCCAGAACCAGCCATGACATAGTTATCTGACCGAATGCTGTGTTTTGTAAAAAAAAAAAAAAAAAAACTCTGTAAATAGAACGTTGTAGACATAAATACAAAATAGAACGTTCCATAGCTCAGTGACAAGCCAGAAAGCTACATTGTGTTTAAATCTGGTCCACAGCCAGATCCCTCTACTCAAACCAATCGCTACCATCTCAGATGGTCTGTTTTGGCAAGTGACACTGGAACACTGTAATCAGAGATTAATTGACTTAATCAAATCGGCCCAGCCCCAGCAATTAATCTTTTGGCAAAAGCAAATTACACACAATTACCTCAATCTGCCTGGTCAGGGGGGGCGGGAGGGTGAAGTGCTCTAACACAATTAAAATCACACATTTAAATAGCAGAAATCAATCTTGGCAATTAGATGGGGTGACATGGCAATCACAGCTAGTAGTCCGGCTAGTGGTCCTGGAACTATTAATTAATGTACAGTACCTGGGAGGGGCAGAATCAGTGCTGTATTCCCAACAAGTCTTCCACACATACAGTTGTGGTTCCTATCAGATCCTCAGGCTGGCTGTACCAGGCTATGGGTCCCCTGTCCCATTGATGTCAGTCTTTGTCTGTCTTCCTTCTTGTCAACAGGAGCTAATGGCTGGGGTATTTTTCCAAAGTGATCTCTGTGTCTCCTGTGTAAGACAGTGATCTTGAACGCCTACTATCAGTCAGCCAGAGAGATGCTGTACTTCACCCTATCACATCCAATCTCCTACTTTCAGAGGGGGACACAGATCAGCCTGTCAGGGACCAGCAGGAGACTCAAAGCAATCCCACCCACTGCTGGACTGGAAGTTCATTTACTGTACTCTGTTAATATGGTCCTTTCTGCTGTGTACCCTCTGGGTGCAGCTCATAAAACCTTAAAAAAGCTCAGGTCCCTCAGCTCCAGCCAAGTCCAAGATAAAGGGAGAGCTTAGTAACACAGCCTCCCCTTTTTGGGCAAAGTTCCCTTCGGTTTCAGCTTTCTCCTATTATCCTTCAGCAGAGTGGAAGAGAAGGCACTTTGTAGGGACCTCGGCTTCTATTGCAGGGAATCATTAAATCATTTGCTATCTGCATAACTACACTGAGCCGTATTAAATATCCCAGAGCATCACACAGGGAGGAGGGGGCACTAATACACACATATCACATGGCACTACATGTAATAAAATAATACAATGAATAACACGATATGGATAATAATATTATATCTATTCATTTTACATGTAAATAGTAATAATGTACAATATATTATATACAGTACTACCATTTACATGTACAATATTTATCTATATATATATATATATATATATATATATATATATATATATATATATATATATATAGCCAGGTATCATATAACATTTATTTATTTGTGTGTAATATATATATATTTATTTGTGTGTGTGTGTAGTCACTAAAGGGTACCCTGTATACTACTTGCACATTTTATTAGATTATTAAACCGAGTTCAGAATGTTATTGGAGAGTTTATTCCAAAACAGATTATTAAACGGAGCCCTGTTAATAGATCCCCACTCTCAGTAGATCACTGAATAGATTACCATTCTTTAGCAGATATTTGAATAGATCCCAACATTCTGTAGATTTTCACAGATTATTAAATCACTATTTTTTTTTTTTAAACTCTTGAAGGATCACAAGAAACCTGAATATCATTGGCTGTAAATGGCCATTTGTTGTGTATCTCCATGTAAATGAACTGACTCTCTCTCTATGAAAGGAAGGAGGAATGTCCTTATGTAAGTCCATTGATTAGTAATATTTCCTTTGTTAATACACATCCAGCATCTAATTTGATCCGGAAAGAGAGAGAGGGAGGGAATGTGAAACAAAAGCTCAGCCCTAATGAGTTCAATTACAATGTGGTAAACACTGTGCCACTGCGCTTTACTTAAGCCTGCTGTCCAATTTCAGCTCATTAGTAATTCATTAACACAACGGTCTTTAGCTGGCTAGTGAGGAAGGCATCACGGAGTGCAGTTACTTTATACACACTGTAATCACACTACAATAAAACTGTAATGGCACTACAATCACACTACAATCACACTGTAATCACACTACAATCACACTACAATTACACTGTAATCACACTGTAATCACACTACAATAAAACTGTAATGGCACTACAATCACACTACAATCACACTGTAATCACACTACAATAAAACTGTAATGGCACTACAATCACACTACAATCACACTACAATAAAACTCTAATGGCACTACAATCACACTACAATCACACTGTAATCACACTACAATAAAACTGTAATGGCACTGCAATCACACTACAATCACAATTACACTGTAATCACAGTACAATCATACTGAAATTACACTGTAATCACACTACAATTACACTGTAATCACACTGTAATCACACTACAATCACACTACAATCACACTGTAATCACACTACAATCACACTACAATCACACTGTAATCACACTGCAATCAAACTGTAATGACACTACAATCACACTGCGGTTTCACACTGCGGTTTCACACTGCAATCACACTGTAATGACACTACAATCAAACTGTAATGACACTACAATCACACTGTAATCACACTGTAATGACACTACAATCAAACTGTAATGACACTACAATCACACTGTAATCACACTGTAATGACACTACAATCACACTGTAATGACACTACAATCACACTGTAATCACACTGCAGCTTCATACTATAGCTTACACTACATTAACTCTGCAGCTTCATACTATATCTCATTTACCACAAGGTCACACTAGACCTCACATTGCAATCACACTGTAATCACACTACAATCACACTACAATCACACTGTAATCACACTACAGTCACACTGCAATCAAACTGTAATGACACTACAATCACACTGCGGCTTCACACTGTAATCACACTGTAATGACACTACAATCATACTGTAATGACACTACAATCACACTACAATCATACTGTTATCACACTGCAGCTTCATACTATAGCTTACACTACATTAACACTGCAGCTTCATACTCTATCTCATCTCCCACAAGGTCACACTAGACCTCACATTGTAATCACACTGTAATAACACTACAATCACACTACAACCACACTGCAGCTTCATACTATATCTCATTTACCACAAGTTCACACTAGAGCTAACACTGCAATCACACTGTAATGACACTACAATCCCACTGAGGTTACACACTGCAATGACACTACAATCACACTGCAGCTCATTCACCACGACTTCACACTATGGCTCACACTACATCTCACTCTAGAGCTCACACTACAATAACACTGCAGATTCACACTATGGCTTCACAACTTCACTATATAGGGCACACTACAACTCACATTAGAGCTCACACTATTACTCACACATCACAACACTACAGCTTTATACTAGAGCTCACACTAGAGCAGTAAGCTCATTCACACATCTTCACACTACAGCTACACTGACATTCACACACATCGCAGCTCACACTACAGCACACACACCGCAGCTCACACTACTCACACTACTGCTGGGATACATCTCACATACTACGGCACACACACCGCAGCTCACACCACAGCTCACACACTCAACTCACACAATAGCTGGTATACTACATCTCACACTCTTAGCTCAAACTACAGCACACACACACTTAACTCACACTACTCACACTACTGCTGGCATGCATCTCACACACTGCAGCTCACACAATGCAATTCACACAGTAAACTCACATACTACAACTCACACAATGCAATTTACACAGAAAGCTCACACAGTAAGCTCACACAATGCAATTCACACAGTAAGCTCACGCACTAAAACTCACACAATGCAAATCACACATTAAGCTCACACACTAAAACTCACACAATGCAATTCACACATTAAGCTCACACACTACAACTCACACAATGTAATTCACACATTAAGCTAACACACTGCAACTCACACAATGTAATTCACACAGTAAGCTCACACACTGCAACTCACACAATGTAATTCACACATTAAGCTAACACACTACAACTCACACAATGTAATTCACACAGAAAGCTCACACACTACAACTCACACAATGCAATTCACACATTAAGCTCACACACTACAAAACACACAATGTAATTCACACATTAAGCTCACACACTAAAACTCACACAATGCAATTCACACATTAAGCTCACACACTGCAACTCACAATGCAATTCACACAGTAAGCTCACACACTGCAACTCACACAATGTAATTCACACATTAAGCTCACACACTGCAACTCACAATGCAATTCACACAGTAAGCTCACACACTGCAACTCACAATGCAATTCACACAGTAAGCTCACACAGTGCAACTCACAATGCAATTCACACAGTAAGCTCACACACTGCAACTCACAATGCAATTCACACAGTAAGCTCACACAGTGCAACTCACAATGCAATTCACACAGTAAGCTCACACAGTAAATTTACACAGTAAGCTCACACAATGCAATTCACACAGTAAGCTCACACAGTAAATTTACACAATGCCATTCACACAGTAAGCTCACACAGAAAATTCACACAGTAAGCTCACACAGTAAATTTACACAGTAAGCTCACACAATGCAATGCACACAATGCAGTTCACCCATTTGCAGGGAGTTTGTTTTGGTAATAGGGTTAAAGTTAGTCTATACAGGAGGGGTAGGTGGACTTTATAGATAGCTTCATTTACTCACAGAAAAACTCTACAAACTCGACAGAAGATAAAATGATTTAATCTACACAAAACAACTGTTTAGACTAAATGAAAATCCTCTATATTCTGAATAGAAATGGACTGTCTAGAATGTCTGCAGAGACTGGGCTGATGGTCAATATATGGACTGGCTGGGACCATAATATAGGGACCAATCCAAATGCATATAAACTTTAATGTCCTCACAGGTTTATACTGGATGTAAGGATGCATCACATAGAGGGACCTCAGATGTAAGGAATGTTAGAATTTAATTTAACTCGTGTATATACAGCAACTCTCTCTACACACACGTATGTACTAATAAATACAATATATATTATTAACCTATATATATATATCTATGCACACACACATCAATATTTCTGCCAAGCTGTACTGTGACTCATTTACTTGCTGTTTGTAAAGGGTTAATGTGAAGCAGTATTCTGTACACAGACTAGTGACCGCAAAAACAGGCAATCTATAGGGCTCATTCTATTTCCTATAATTCTGATTAATTCTATTATTTTTGAAATATTTTATATTTTATATAACACATACAGTTACAGGTCTTTCCTCATTGTGATCACATTAAAGTACATTGTTATATGCACAGTCGGCAGCCTGAGCGAACCCGTGTCATTTTAATATAATATTTAATATCAAGGCATTTTCAGCATTCGGAGATTCAAATCTGTTGCTTTTTATTCAGTTAACCAAATTACTTAACAATTAATTCGAGATATATTTTGTGAATAATTATAACACTACCTATCTATCATACATTTAATATATATATATAATATTTACATCTGATAAATACAAAACATAAATGTACTATGTAGCATACAAATGGAGTGTTTAATTACACATTTCAGTAATTAGAATTAAATTCTGATGTTTCTTAGTATCTATGGATGAAGGGGAGACACAGACAGTAGCACTTATTGAAACCAGCATGAAAATTAACCCTGGCATCCTTGGTACTAACCGTATAATAAGTAATATGGTGAACATCAGGCTTTCTCTCACTGCCACCAAAGTCTATGTGGCATTGTCCGAAGAGCTTGCACTCTGTCAGTGACAGAATTCGTATGGTCATAATTAAACATACCTAAAACCATAGTGTCAGTCTAAGCTTCCTTAATGAATACAGCCTTAATAAATACTGTACGATATTTAGAAAACGTTTATGAAGAAAATCGTTCACATTTTTGAATCGGTTTATAGAGGAAGAATGCAATGTATCTATAATAAAGGATTAATTTATTCCTATATTTTCCGAGTGACAGTAATATCGCTTAGTAAATGCTGTGG